TCTGGGAAGTTTTCTTGTATTATTTCATTGAATAGACTTCTCATTCCTTTGGTTTGGAGCTCTGTACCTTCCTGTATCCCAATGACTCTTAAGTTTGGTCTCTTAATGTTATCCCATATTTCTTGGATGTTCTGCTCATGGTTTCTTAACAGTCTTGCTGAGCTGTCTATGTTCTTTTCAAGTTGAAATACTTTGTCTTCATTGTCTGATGTTCTATCTTCTAAGTGTTCTACTCTGCTGGTAGTATTCTCAATTGAGTTTTTAAGTTGGTTTATTGCTTCCTGCATTTCTAGGATTTCTGTTTGTTTGTTTTTTATAACCTCTATCTCCCTGTATAGTTGATCCTTTGCTTCCTGGATTTGTTTGTGTAATTCATTGTCGAAGTGATCTTTCATTGTCTGATTTTGCTGTCTAATGTCTTCCTTGATACTCCAGATCATCTGAAGCATGTATATCCTGAATTCTTTATCTGACATTCCATCTGCTGCAGCTGTTAACTCTTCTAAAGTTGACTTGACCTGCATTGCTTGTGGTCCTTTCTTTCCTTGTCTTTTCATACTGCTTGCGTTTCTTTCTGCTTGGTGAAACTGTTGTTTTTTTGAAAAATTTTTCCCCCTATATATTTATATTGCTCTTGTATAGTTGAAAAGTCTCCCTTGCAGGGTCTGGTGGCGTTCTGCTTACCTTGCAGGCGCGGGCAGCGGCTCTGCTCTGCCCCTCCTCCAATTGGTGTGAGGTGTCTACCACGCCCGCGGACCCCTGGGCCTGTCTGCCGGTCGGTCGCAGGTCTGCCTATCTTGCAGGCCCGGGCGGCGGCTCTGCTCTGTCCTTACTCCAATTGGGGTGATGTGTCTACCACGCCGGCGGGTCGCTGGGCTTATTCTGGGCGTGGGAGGCGGCTCTGCTCTGCCCCTACTCCAATCGGGGTGACGTGTGTACCACGCTGGCAGGCCACCGGGCCTGATCTGCCGGTTGGTTGCAGGTCTGCCTACCCTGCAGGCGCGGGCGGCGGCTCTGCTCTGCCCCCCCTCCAATTGGTGTGACTTGTCTACCACACCCGCGGACCTCTGTGCCTGTTCCGGGCGCGGGTGAAGGCTCTGCTCTGCTCCTACTCCAATTGGGGTGACGTGCCTACCACCCCGGCCGGCCGCTGGGCCTGTTCCACCGGTCGCTCGCAGGTCTGCCTACCTTGCGGGCACAGGCAGCGGCTCTGCTCTGCCCCTACTCCAAATGGGGTGACGTGTCTGTCGCACCGGCAGGCCACTGGGCCTGTCCCACTGGTCGGTCGCAGGTCTGCCCACCTTTCGGGCACAGATGGCGGCTCTGCTTTGCCCCCACTCCAACTGGGGTCACGTGACCACCACACTGGCGGGCCGCTGGGCCTGATCCAGGCGCGGGCGAAGGCTCTGCTCTGTCCGTACTCCAGTTGGGGTGACGTGTGTACCACACTGGCAGGCCGCTGGGCCTGATCCGCCGGTCTGTCGCAGGTCTGCTTACCTTGCAGGCGCGGGCAGCGGCTCTGCCCTGCCCCTCCTACCACGCCCGTGGACCACTTGGCCTGTTCTGCCGGTCGTTCGCAGGTCTGCCCACCTTGCGGGCGCGGGTGGCGGCTCCGCTCCGCCCACTCTCCAATTGGGGTCACGCGACCACCACGCTGGCGAGCCGCTGGGCCTGCTCTGGGCGCGGGCGGTGGCCCGGCTCCTCCCCTCTGGCTCGATGACAAAGCGAGAGAGACTCGGGTGTCTGTGACTCACCCTCCCTACCAGGAGACCAACTGTTTCTGTCGCCGCTGGTATTGATGAAGTTCTCTCCTCCGCCACTTTCTGATGACATCAGATCTCTGCCATGTTGGTATCCTATGCGAATGGCAGCATTTCGTTCCCTTTGCCGGGTGACCAAAGCAACGGGTGAGTCCTGACCGGCCCTCACAGGCCCCGTCTCAGTCCTGTTGCCACTGCCCACGAAGGCTCGGTTGGTATTTACCTCCACATTACTCAGCAGGACTCGGACCAAGAAGCAGTTTCCACGGGCTCCTTAGCCCTGGGCCAGAGCAGTTCCAGGAGCCGGAACTCGGCCGCTCTGTGCTCGGTGTATGCTCTGATAAGAGCAGGCTCCAAGAAGCAGTTTCCGCGGGTTATTTAGCACTGAGCCTGAGTAATTTGTCTGCAAGCCGCAGGCGAATGGCAGCCTGAAATTACCTGTTCTATGGCTGAATGAGCTGCGATCAGTCGAAAACAGGGATGGTGACGTCAGCTCTCCAAGATGGTGGCCGCTGGCCTCCTCTGTGGTCTGACCAGTGTGGAGAACCGAATTGGACCGCTTCCTTCTCCCATCTCGAACCCAGAATTCAGCACTGAGTATGGTGCTTATATGGCTGGCAGAAACTGCAGCGCTGTATCCCTGCGTCGCTATCTCCTCGTTTCCCAGCGCACGCTGCAGACTCTAGCCGCGAGGCGATTTGCTGAATAAGCAGTGTGACCCTCCATGCGACAAATCTCTCGCATTTGAGCCCCCGTAGCCGATCCTCGTGCGATGGAAATCCTTCCTCCAGGTTCCGGAGCACCCCACTATTGCTGGAAATTCCTAACAAGACAGCCTTTAGCCGTCCTGACTCGTCATTCTCCCACACAGTGACTCGGCACATGGGGGCAATGCACTCCCCTCGCCGCCATATTCCCTCCTCCATCTTTGCCTTTTAATTGATGTTTTTATCTTTTCACATTTCCTGTAACTATTGACATGGTTGGATTTGAATAAAAATTTGCTGGTAAATTAACAACAATCGTTCCTCCAAAAATTATGTACACACACACACACACACACACACACACATATATATATATATATATACATCTATACTTACATATGTTTATTATTCAATTTACTTGTTTCATATGAACCTGGGAGACCTGATTATTTTACATGGAATATAATTTATAAATATTAAATTATAATAAGTTGTAAAATAAATTCAATATAGTAAATTTTTTTAAAAAATATTACCCATAAGTTGAATTTAAGAATCTAGAAAGAAAAAAGATGTCAGATAAAATATGATCAAAACATTCAGTATTGGGCTGGGGTTATGGCTCAGTGGTAGTGTGCTCGCCTAGCATGCACAAGGCACTGGGTTCGATCCTCAGCACCACATGGAATGTAAAATAAAGGTATTGTGTCCATCTAAAACTTAAGAATACATATTTTAAAAAAATCAGTATCCTAGTCTTTATAGAGTTCTAAAAATCTAGTGATAATTGACCTTGATGAAGCAAATTGGGTAATAAATTATGGACAGATAGACCCATAAAATATCGTATAATTAGAATCCTGTTTCTTTTCACCATTCTCTCCTCCCCTTTTGTCTGGGCACAGATGGAAACTACTTTTCTATCCACGTGGTGGAATAATAATCAGCTCTTTGAGGCTAAGTGGATACTAGACGCCTTCCTTTACATTGTCCTTTGTGGAACACCCAGAAGTATAATTGATAAGATCAAGCTTTTCATGAATCTCTTCATCACACTTGACACTTGTCACCCTTCTTCATCTCCCCTAATTCCAACTGAACTTAATTAAAAACACGATACTAGAATAATTTATAAGAAAAATGCTTTAGGGACATTTTATCCCAAAGAGCTCAAAGCATCTCCTCTCTTTATTCTTTCTAAAGTTCTGTGAGATGTGTGGGGGAGTCCAGATATAAATAATCTTATCTACTTTGTTTAATTCTTTAGGATCTGCTCTGATCTGAGTTGCACAAAAATCTTACATGAAGTTTTGCATTGATTTCTCGAGAGAGCTAAAGGCACGGTGGGAGGATAGCATAAGATTTTAGAAAGACCTCTCCCTCCACCAAATATGAAATTGCTAAAAATGGAAAATTGCCAGATAAAGAGAGTTTGGTACATGTAAATTTGGAAACAATCTCTCCTCGTGATTCATGGGAGAAGAGAAGTTCAGCCTCCTCATGTATTGCATTCAAACACCATGAACTTAATTGCAAGAACTATCTAAGTACAACCTGGTTGCCATGGGAAATGCTACTTGAAATGATGGGTGAAGAACACTCATTTAAAGACACAACTGTGTTTGAAGGACATTCCATAGTACCACAGGAGCAGGACTGTTGGGGTTCTATATTTAATAGTTCAGTGAGTGTTAGAAGTTGGTGCAATCTACACCTCACAATCTCTACAATAGTACAAAAGCTAGTATCCAACCACAGGACTGGTTAGTGACTGCTGTGAAATAATGTTCTGGTTTTGTTTTAATGTTTCTCTCAACAATTTCCTGGTACGAATTTCAAGATAACATGATTTAGGATTTACATTATTTCAAAGGTGGGTCTGCCAATGTTCATATCAGAGCCAGCTATTGTTACTCCCTACCTCTATCCCCTTTTATGTTTTTCATATTTGGACAATAAATCAGTCCTGATTGTCTTAAAAATCGTAATTAATAGTTTGCTAGAGTGTCTCTTTTCAAAAGGAGATAAGTATTTTAAAGGAAACTGGAGGTAGAAAATATTCCTACCCTGTGAGATATTTCTGTGGCTTCAGTTTTCAGCACTTGTCTGCATTACAATTATTCAAAATATGTTGAATCAAGGGCTGAAGGCAAAAGAGTACTGATAAAAGGGCACCACATAGAATTCCCATGCTTTGGGGGATCAAGCAATGGACCCTCCCGCCCTCTGAAGGTCTTGGAAAATGTGACCTCTGATGCACATTATAATTTGTCTTACTTAACCTTCCTGAATCCCTGGTAACAGCATCACCACAGGCATTCTGACAAGGCCATTTCCTGTCTTTGTTAATTAAAATAAATTTCTTGCATTGATTTTATTATGTCAAAATTATGTTTGGGCAAGACACTAACTTGAGAGTGAAATTAATCAAACACACAATCATTTACTTCTACCCTAGGGGGCTTTATTCAGTATTCATAAGATTTCTTTAAATGTTAAAGATTATTAACTAGACTGAAGTTAGTGTCAGTACCTGGTTTCTTAGGAAGACCATGGAACTTCTCATCATCAGATTGTCTTCTTGCTGCCTTTTGTTGGAACACTGTAAAAAATACAGAGCATATTATTTATTGGCTATAAACACTAAGAAAAACAACAACACCCTATCCAGTGCAAGTCCCCAGGAAGCTAGGATGCAATATATCATTTTCATTAGTAATAATTCCTGATTGGATTCTTTTTTGAGTAGGAGGATTATTAAATTTGCAATTTTCTCATTTGTGCAGTTTATCAGTCATTTCAGAAAGCATTTTCTTTGGGCAGAGTAGTATAATGCTGATGGAATGCCTCATTAAGCTAGTTAAATCAAGATATGATTCCATTTTGGTATCAGGTAAAGATAAAAGCTGCATTTTGTTAAAAGTGATGAATGTTAAAATCACATGAAAAATTCCATTTGCACGGAAATTACTCAAGCTGACTTTTCAGTGATAAGCAAGGATAATGACTGTTTTTTCTTAAACAGATGAAAAGACTGTTGTATTTCACAGATGTAATAATAAAAAAGGCACTTTATTCTTGCATCATCCATCCAGACTTCAGACCTATTAAAGCAGCTTATTTGAATTACTTCATTATCTGAAAAGTGCTTTGTTCTCATCTATTATTTCTCACACAAAATTCTGGGAGACAAGTCAGCATTACTCACCCCATTTTGCAGATGAAAGATAAAATTGATTGTTTCATATTTATTGAGCACCCACAAAGTTCCCGATAGCTTCTGGCATTTGTTAATGAAAAAGTCCAGACCATTTACAACTTTACTTTGGAAAATGAATATCCCAGAGTTACGGTCATGTTTTATTGGCAGTCTGAATTATAGGATTTGGGACCTGGAAGAGACCTGGGAGATTTAGTCCAAACTTGCATGTTTATAGATGAGGGAGGTGGAAGTAACTAGCTTGTAAAAGGGCTAAGTAATTTTGCAATGATCCCAGAGCTGTTGTTAGTGGAGAAGTGATTTAGATCCTTGAACTTCTGTGTGTTGCTTGGATCCTTACAGAACTGCTGCCTCTTCCATTCTGTCTTCCCTTTTAGAGGTAAGGCAGGAGGCAGAGGGAGCCGACCAAAATGAACCTGAGAGCATTTCTAACACATTTGGGTCTCAGTTCTACAGTACTTCCTGGCTTAATGGATTCCAGGCCGTGGTCCAGCAGGATGATGCTTGACCACTTTGGGAGAAACATCCCAGTGGTTCTCATGGATCACTGCCTTGGTTTTAACATCCTTTAAACCAATCTATATCAAGGTCATATCTGGGATTAATGCAAAAGACATATTTTGAATTTTTAAAAAGTGCCCCAAATCAAATCAAATTAACATTTATTTATTAAGCTTATAATTTGCTGGATGCCGTAAAGAGAAAGGGTATCTCTCTCTGCTGTCCTCAGGAGATACAAATGTATTTTCAAAGTATGAGGTGTTGAAGAAAAATTGCATGTATGAATCACATTTCTGCTTAAAAAAATCACTTTTCTTCTTCGAGTTCTGGGTTTGTGGCTTACATTTTTCCTAAAATAAAATGTATTAAGGGATATATGGTTTGTGAGTATATTTTAGGATATGGAAAGAAATTATTTTTAAGCAGTACTTGATTTTTTTCTGCATTGGCTAGTTCTAAAAGTCTTGAAAAAATGCAACACTTTTGAAATTTTAATAACATGCAGACTCTTTGTGCTTTCTTGCCAATATTATTAAGATATAACTGAGAATGTCTTAAGACTAAAAAGCTGTAGTCTGGTTTTTTAATATGGGAAATGATTTGAATCCAAAGATAAATTCAGAAAATAAATTCTTCAGCTAAAAAGTACATTAACTGGTAAGTTTTAAGAATTCTGCTGAGGTTTGAATCTACAGACTATTTGGAAGTGGAATTATTTTTCCAGTTTTTTTGGTGTTAATTTGCTAAAAATCACTTTATGCCCTATATTTTATTGGAATATTTTCTGGTTACAACAAACACTTGGCTTGTGGGAAATACAGTAAGTGTGAAACAAATAAATGCTGTCATTGAGTCACTAAGTTAAGAAGTTACAAGCAGAGCATTTATTTACCATTGAGAGTTCACCATAACCCAGGATGGGGGTGGAATATTGGGACGAAAAAGTCGGATGCTATGAGTGGGGTGATAATGCAAATGTTGACCACAGAATTCTATAAAAGCAGGATGTGAAGTAGGTCACAGCCCACAGTGCAAGGGTCCTTTCCACCTGTCTAACCTTCCTGGAAATTCACTCCTAACTAATTTCCAGCTGTACCCACCCCTCTTGATTACCTTTCTCCCTCCTGATAAGCTTCACTTCCTTATGGAAACCTAGTTATCAACTAACATTGCCAAACAGGTTTTTTTTCTCATTGATATAAAGGCTAGGAGGTATTTTTAAAATATGAAGTAACCTTGGGAAGAAGACCCATTTTAATTGTTTCCTGAAGAAAGATCTAGTCCATCAAAATTATTACTGAAGCAAATATGCATACTCCATCAGTCTTAGGAAAAGAATGGATATAAAATTCTAGAATTTTTTACTCTTTCTTTTTTCACATTTTTATTAGACAAAACATTTTAATGGTATCTCCCAGCAAAGTCTGTATCCTACAAAGCTTTATATACTTTGTGTTTACCAGGTTATCTCTTTTATAAGAGATAAATATATAAGCCACAATGGAGTGAGACTTGTGCGCTGGATGATGATGATGTGTGTGTGTGTGTGTACATGCACATACAAATACCTAAATACGCAAGATTTGTTATGTGTTGAATCAGAGTCTATTTTCAATATATAGTAATTGAAAAAGTGTATTACAGAATTGTTACCAAATTGGCACAACTTAACATTAACATCATGCATAACATGGGAAAGGGCCTTTATTTTCTTGCCAGTAAGATTAGGGCTTAGATGCATGGATTTTGAATGTCTCACTCGGTTCACACTATAAGATGCTGGCAACTCTGATACTCTGATTTCCGTGGCCATTTCAGGTTTAGTGGTGCTGGGGTACATTCTTAATGGAGTATGGATTCAAGTAGAATGCTGTATTTTGAGGAAGAGATCATTTGCAATCTGAGGGCTTAGACTAATACAAACTAGAAAGTTCAATGACAGAGCAACGTTAATTTTTTATAATATATTGAGATGTTTCTGGTCCTATGTGTTTGAATACTTGTAGGATATTATTTCAACTACATTTTACTTCATCGGTGTTCAAAGAATGCTATCAAGGCAATTATGTAATATGTCAACTTCGATGACTTTCTACCGTGTGAATGTTTTTCCTCTTGCCACCTAAAATTGGAATTTGAGAAAAAGGAAACATGAATACATGGTTTGTTCTTGTCACTACCTTTAAACATAAAAAAATTTCATAGAGGAGGAAAAACAAGTTTTGAGATTTAAAATAATCATAAGCAATATGAATGTCTCAAATAACAGCCTCATTTATTTTAAATATTGGTAGAATGACTTCTGTAGAAGTTTCTCTAGAATAGAAATGACATTGAATGGAAAAATTAACATAGTATTAAATATTCAAAATGTTAAGCACAGCAGAACTAGCAGAAAATCAGGAGGAGGAGGAGGAGGTGAAATATAACAGACTCACTTCACTATTTGTCCTTTCAGGCTGCTTCTGCAAGAACATTCTTCATGTCAACCTCGTTTGTGGCCAATTGTAAGCAAAATGACTCTTCCAGAGCTTCCCTCCTTAGAAAATCTGATAAAACTGATTTTGAACTGTGTTCTAATGGCCAAGGTGATAGAAAGTCTGGGTAACAGCCAACAGCATTCATGACGATGTACAGTATAACCACAAACCCTTGATGTTCCATGCCCATCAGAAGTGAAAAGTGAAATATTGTTTAGAGATGTGCATCTGTCACTGATGATTATTCTCATAACTAGAGATTTGATATAAAATAAAATGTGCATATATGTATTGTGTTGTGAGCTCTCAGGGTGGCAGCAGTGGTGTTTATTATTCACTTAAAATCTGTCACCGGGTTACCAATGACATAGCCAAGTGCCATGCTGGGTCCTGAGGGTGCAAAGGCACTGAAGACACAGTCAAAGTTCCCACACTGCCCTCCATGTGTTCACTTGAATAAAGGCCAAATGTGCCCTTCGTGCCTAGAGAGGGGAGAGAACAGAGAGGAGGAACAACCAGAGATGGTCAAGATCAAGTCCTTGCAACCCCACTCTCCCAACCTCATTCTCCCAGTTTGTACATGTAAGAACTAACTGCAAAAAGGCAGAGTGAGGTAAAACAAAGCATTGGAAACAGACATAAGTAATCAGGAGTTGTGGCATTTGTCTTTAAGGACAATCTGTAAAGGATCAGTGACACACAAAGTCACTGATGTGGTGACACCTGACTCTTGAGACTGGCAGAGAGGGAAAGAGGGAAGCACATATCTGCCTGAAGGAAAACAGCATAGAAATCCCAAGTCCATGGCCATATCAAGAGATCCATGCACTTCCCAAGGAGAAAATGTAATTTTCTTTCCCATTTGGAACAGAAACTAAGTCTGATAGATGTGTTCCCATAAAAATCCTTTCCCCAAACAGGAAATTTCACTATAAAATTTTCTTTTCTACTTCTGAACAGCTTAATTTTTTTGCCAGAATAGAAAACAAACTATTTTTATTTGCATATGTATTCTTTCTCCTACAAATAAGAATATTTCTATTCTAGAATTGTTTCTTATCTGAGAAGCTGGGTCTTTCTAAAAGAAGGCAGTTTGCTTTGTGGAATTCTGTATAACGACAGCTTGAGGCCATTTCAATAAGTTTGTTAGCCAAACCTTGACTCACTACTGGGTCCATCTCCTCCTATAAGACTTCATTTGAGCTCATTGATTGAATTCTGATTTTGCCCATTTGTATTCAATAAGCAAACAATAGTATGAATGTAGACATTAGTAACATGCCATGAAATTTTGTTTCAAAAAGAAATTATTTGGGTAGTAAGGACTACTGGAAGACTCTTGAAACTGAGTTCACTTTTTAGGTCATGTTTGTGGATTACCCTAAAACTACTACTCTGCCC